CACAGGTCAGGAGACACAAGTCAGGAGACACAGGTCAGGAGACACAGATCAGGAGACACAAGTCAGGAGACACAGGTCAGGAGACACAAGTCAGGAGACACAGGTCAGGAGACACAAGTCAGGAGACACAGGTCAGGAGACACAGGTCAGGAGACACAGGTCAGGAGACACAGGTCAGGAGACACAAGTCAGAGAACAGGTCACGGAGACACAGGTCAGGAGACACAATCAGGAGACACAGGTCAGGAGACACAGGTCAGGACAAGTCAGGGACACAGGTCAGGAACACAGATCAGGAACACAGTCAGAGACAGGTCAGGAGACACAAGTCAGGAGACACGATCAGGAGAACAAGTCAGGAGACACAGGTCAGGAGACACAGGTCAGAGACACAAGTCAGGAGACACAGGTCAGGAGACAAAGTCAGGAGACACAGGTCAGGAGACCAGGTTCAGGAGCACAAGTCAGAGACACAGGCCAGGAGACAAAGTCAGGAGACACAGGTCAGGAGACACAGGTCAGGAGACAAGTCAGGAGACACAATCGGAGACCAAGGTCAGGAGACAAGGTCAGGAGACACATGTCAGGATGACACAGGGCAGTGGACACAGGTCAGGAGACACAGATCAGGAGACACAAGTCAGGAGACACAGGTCAGGAGACACAAGTCAGGAGACACAGGCCAGGAGACACAAGTCAGGAGACACAGGTCAGGAGACACAAGTCAGGAGACACAGGTCAGGAGACACAGGTCTAAAGACACGGATCAGGAGACATAGGGTCACAAAAAACAAAACAAAAACAGGACACTACGCAAGCTTCTTCCATCACTGCCTAAGCCGTCAAATGGGACGCACAGTCTTCACCTGTTCAACGACAGCTCAACGTCCCTCCAGGACGCGACCTACAACAGTCGACCAACACAAAGTTAAATTAACAGGAAGCAACAGATGCAAAGAAACCTCGTGAAATTAATAATCAGTGTTTCTTAAGCAAAATTAAATGATTTGATGTTTTTGAAGGTAGTATTGGACTGAAATGGTATGGTGATACCGACAAGGTGTGGAAAAAGGCACTTATGTACAGTTCAGGGCATATAATGGAGGCAATGTTTCGTCACGAGTGGCTTCTTCGGTCTCTAATAAATGTCCTGAATTGTACATAAGTGTTGGACTGCCTAGCAGGAACAGTAGTCCCGTCCCCAGATATGAATTACCTGTATTAATGTTGGTAGAATTATATTAGATGAAAGGACACAGGTGCAACTAATATGACATTTTAGTGTGGCAACGTTTCGCTCTTCAATTTTGTCAAGCTGTTACGGCTTGACAAAACTCCTGGAGAGCGAAACGTTGCCATAATAAAATGTCATATTAGTTGCACATGTGTCCTTTTACCTAACGTGAATTACCTGATTCAAGTTGTTTGTTTATTTATTTATTCGACCTCTTGTCAGGGTGTATTGACAAAGTTCTCACTGTACATCTTGATTCTCGGTGCTGATCCATATTATTATAACATGAAGAGTCAATCAATAGGTCAGTGCATCAGTTATGTCACTAAAACGATTTTTCCCACTATGTTCGTCGTCAACTTCATGTATGAACGTCAGCTTCATGCATGAACGTCAGCTTCATGTCATGAACGTCAGCTTCGTTTGTGAAAATCAGGTTTTTACTCTAACGTTGTCTTCGGTCTCACCTGCCGGTGCTCTCTCTAGCCTTGATCTGCTCGATCCATTACCGGTTTTGACACAGTTAAGCAATATATTCACTTTATATTGGCTCATATGCCCACACGGGTTACACTGGGCCAAATCTACTTGATGTACTTTTTATATGCCTATAACGTCTGTGCGCCCTGAAGATCATTGTATTTTTTTTTATGTTATGTACCCAAAGCCTAAACGAAAACTATTACAAAAACAGGTACAAAAAAAAGGGATTTTTTTGAGTGCTCGTACATTCCCACCACGAATATTTACGCTGTAGAGAATGTAGAAGAGCAGTAGTGTAAGCAGATACCATACCAGAGTAGTAATAAACGAGGAAAATTGAATTCGCTCACTGCGATTGGCTCATAACTCATACAAGAGAGACCAACACGTATACTCAACCTGCTAGTGAGAAACTGACTCCACCCAGGGGTGTAAGTATAACATTTATTCGGCTGGAGTCGGTATCTCACCCAGCTGGTTGACGTATAAACCTGGCAGCCAGTTACAGTTTGGCTGGTTTAGAGGGACTGCCAGAAATGGGTGTGTGATGAACTCCGAATAAACTGTAACATATTTAGTGTACATCACAAAGTTGACTATGGTAGCCGACCTGACGGACGCCACCTGCACCTCTCACCCACGTCCTGATGGACATCACCTGCACCTCTCATCCACGACCTAATGGACATCACCTACACCTCTTATCCACGACTTATGGACGTCGCCTGCACCTCTCACCCATGTCCTAATGGACGTCACCTGCTCCTCTTCTCTACATAGTTCCTTATGCTGGGTGGAAGATGCTTAGGGCACGTGGATCATTGGAATTATATTCTCTAACAAGTATATTATTAAGTGAACATTAAAATGGTATAAAATACCGACAGGTTGTTTGGTGAACATTAAAATGGTATAAAATACCGACAGGTTGTTTGGTGAACATTAAAATGGTATAAAATACCGACAGGTTGTTTGGTGAACATTAAATGGTATAAAATACCGACAGGTTGTTTGGTGAACATTAAAATGGTATAAAATACCGACAGGTTGTTTGGTGAACATTAAAATGGTATAAAATACCGACAGGTTGTTTGGTAGATACCATTTGGTAGATACAGGTTGTTTGGTAGATACTAAACAACCTGTCGGTATTTTATACCATTTTAATGTTCACTCTGTCAGACACTGCAACTATATTATTAAGGAACAATACGCGGTTTATGGCATTTCATTGAGAAATTTCGTCGAAACAGCACATTGTGTTTTCATTCCTTCCTGTACTGTGACATGAAAAATGTTTAATAATATCTTTATTTCTACAAGTACATGTACTTGTCTAAGCCGGGGGGGGGGGGTGACATGGACCTGCCTCGCATGGGGCAGTAGGCCTACTGCAGTGTTCCTTCTTTCTTATGGATTCTTGTGTATCTTATGGTATACAGGCCTAGCTGACATCAGTGACATACTACTATATAGAAAGCCGCTTGTTATGCAGAGAATTTCGAGCAAATTATGTCAGTTTTACCCCAGGATGCGACCCACCTAACACACAGGTACCCACTTTACTGATGGGTGAACATGACAACAGGTATAAAATAAGTATAAGGAAACAAGCCCAATGTTTCTACCCTCGCTGGGAATCGAATCCGGACCCCTCACCGTGTGAAGCGAGAGCTTACGCCACCAGGCGATGGGCCACCGTGGCCTGACTTTAATAAGGTATCCAACCTGTTGTAGTATCTTTTTTTTTTTAATATATTCCAGTTATTTATAACTTTCCAAGTGAGTTTTTGTTTTTATGCCTGGCTGCAGGGAAGGTGATGCAAAAATTATATTGAGTTATCTTTGTACTAGTGTTGACTTTTATTTCCAAACGTTAAAAAGAAAAATTGGATGCTAGATAATCTGGAGACAGGATGCTGGCAGACATGATGTAATTTTATTTATTTTGTTGTGTCTACCTATTTTTTTACCTCTAAAAAATGGTTGCTCTTCCTGACCTACTGTCCTACATGTTGCCTTGGTCCCACTATCTTATTTTGCTTAACTTCTAATTTATTTTCTATATGTTTTGTCAGAGCAAAGAGCCATGATGAGCAGTAGTAGACTAATGGTATTGTGAGAATGAGACATCAATGTACTATCAGGACATTGATACAAGACGCTGAGCTAGTGATGTCTTGACTAGTTTTGCCTATAAGAATTCTTACCGAAAACGTATCTACTTCTCTCTCTAACTGTGTTAAGGCCTAATTCTTAGGACTTTATGTTCGGCTGAGTTTGAGGAGGAAATCAAAATGATTTCACATCGCTCGACAAAAACCTCAGTATTCATTACCTTTGTAACTTGTGAGTTCATTACCTTTGTAACTTGTGAGTTCATTACCTTGTACCTAGTTCAGCCATCAAAACTTTGGAGCCCGGTCCCTGGACCCATTGTGTACCTCTGTAATCTGTAAATACCTTTGTAACTTGTCATGATTGTGACTAGACCTACCTGGAGTTCATTACCTTTGTAAATTGTGAATTCATTACCTCTGTAACTTGCTCAGCTATCAAAACTTTGAGGCCCAGTCCCTGAACCCATTATGTACCTCTGTAATCTTTTGACCACCGCCCACAGGATGGGTATGGGGTGACTACCGCCCACAGGATGGGTATGGGGGGCATAATAAACATATTAAACTGAAACTGAACTGACAAAAACCTCGGAGTCACATTCCTGTGAGAGATCTCCAGATCACCCCAATTTCAAAATATTTATGTACATTTTTGCGCAATCCCCGACATACATATAGGAGGAGAAAGAGGAGGAGGAAGAAGAGGAGGAGACTTGGAGAGATCATATGTCCTTGAGATATAAGCCACTATTGGCTTAAGACCTGCTTAAGACAACACATTCTCAACACAGTATATTACGAGAATTATCGTTTACTGGAATATTGTACTCCGTGTCTCGTTTGGAGTCATCATTCACACTTCGAATACAGTGGGCCAGGAGCTACGACTGGAATCCGCAATCCAAAACTGAGTAATTACAGAGTGATTATATAATACATTGCTGAGGTGTGTGAGGGTAGTGTGGGGTGCCGGGGAGGTGTGTGGCTGGCACCCCCGGCTGTTGCGTCATCCAGTAGTAGTAGTACCTCTGAGTTGCCAGGTGTTGGGAAAACAGCAGCAGTGTTCCCAGAGACACTTGCCTTGGCAAGTGTTAGTCTGTGAAGTTATTTATGGGTGTGAGAGGTGGAGGGAAACAGTGTGGATGATTTTCATGCTGGGTGGAAGATGCTTAGGGCACGTGGGTCATTATACTCGAGTCAGATCTCGGTCATAGATGATAGAGATAGCGTTTAGGTACAGTGTTGTTGACTCTGGTGTCAACAACACTGGCAGGTTGGCGGGGATGGTGTGGCTGGGCCGGGTTACTCACACCAGTATAGTGTCAGAAGTGTAGAGGTGAGGAGGTGACGCTCAAGACCTGCCTAAACACAAGTGAAAACGCGCTCACACACACTTATCAAGGTAGGTACTCCTTTCCATAGCATAAATATGGTAGGTTATTCCGTCTCGGCGTCCCTTGAAAGTGCATATCTCAGTGGAAGGTTATATTTATTACAGCATTATTCAAAAACTGGTGTAACGTACCACGTGGAGGAAAGTAGCCGAGACGCGGGAGAATTAAACATTATTATAAATAGATATTCAGACAAATCTACCCATCTTCCAGTCAAAAATATACTTCGATTTCGGCTTACCAGTGCCGAAAAACTTCCTGAGAAGTGGGATGGATGGTGAGAGGTGATTTCCCAGAGTGTGGTAAGTCAGCGTTTTCCCCAACAGCTGACTGAGAGACAGGCAGGCGCCGACGACCTCCCTACCAGTCATAGTACACATAGCTATCTATATTCGTCTATATTCCAACCTCCACATACATGTCAATGTGCTAATATCACTGCAGTGAATCTGATTGTGATGATTCAGAATATATTGATTATGTCTGGCTTAGTGAAAGGTGTCCAGCAAGGCCCGAATTACACTTGACAAGTCACCGCAACTTTTATCCGTTTTAAACGTGTTTGTGCTGGCAAAGTTGTGATTGCGAGGGTCGAGTCTTATGTCATGCCTCTGTTTGAAGCGTATTTAACTTTGAATTGATTTAAGGTTAAACCATAAGATATTACAAAGACCCCAGTGAAGTTAAGTCACTTCCCCTGACCTTTTGGGGGGATTTTCTTCGGTAATTTACTCATTTTACTATGTATGATAATTGTTATCACCTAAATTTGTATAACTGTATTTATGTACCCGCGTCAGGAAACTCGTGTCCTGTTTCCTGACGAATCTTGCCTAATCTAACCAGTACCTAAATAAACTTGCACAGAGATTATACGTATGATATATATCTCTGGTATATAAATTGAGTTTAATGCCTGTATTAGAGATTAAAAGTCACCTGCACTGGTAGTGTACAGGTAACGTACCCTTAATTAAGAGGCGCGTGAGTTTCCGTCTCTTGATATCATCTACCCAGTCCATAATTACTGTCGCATTTGCTTTGTCTGCTTTCATAAAGTGAAGTCTAAGATCTTTCATTAATTCATGATATAGCTTAACAAATGTTTGAGGACAATTATTAGAAAACGGGGGAACTGACGTGCCCCTTAATTAAGACAGACCAATAAAATGTGCGTTAAGGGCAGTTTATAAATAGCTCATGTCAGCCCTACAGTCATACATGAATAATATACAATACCAAAATGAAAATTAGACACATTTGCAACATCTGGGTATCTTTATTGATACCCAGATGTTGCTCATGTCTAATTTTCAGCCCCACAGACAGCATTTCTTAATGGCAGAAGAGAAAATTTCCAACATTCCTTTCAGTGCTTTCCAAATGACCCTGATGGATCCGGGTGTACGTGGGTGACCAAGGGATGGGGAGGAGAGTGACCCTGGAGTAAAATACCTGGTGCGTAAAGTTACACCAAGGAAAACCAGTCTGGTGTAAATCACTTCAGAACGAGTGTAAGAGGTATTATGGGTGATGATTAATTTTTAAACAGATTTCAATACTGAACATATCTAAAATACAATTTTGAATATTATAAGTGTTTTAGTGCCTTTGATTTTTGTTTTAAATTCTCCTACAGTTTAAGGTTTCTTACACAATAATAAAAAAAGAAGTTTTTAAATAAGCTAGTGGCCGCTTATGAACTGTGTGGGTTTGCTTATATATTAAATTTTTTTCCCCAACAAGTCGGCCGTCTCCCACCGAGGCAGGGTGACCCAAAAAAGAAAGAAAATCCCCAAAAAGAAAATACTTTCATCATTCAACACTTTCACCACACTCACACATTATCACTGCCTTTGCAGAGGTGCTCAGAATACAACAGTTTAGAAGCATATACGTATAAAGATACACAACATATCCCTCCAAACTGCCAATATCCCAAACCCCTCCTTTAAAGTGCAGGCATTGTACTTCCCATTTCCAGGACTCAAGTCCGATTATATGAAAATAACCGGTTTCCCTGAATCCCTTCACTAAATATTACCCTGCTCACACTCCAACAGATCGTCAGGTCCCAAGTAGCATTCGTCTCCATTCACTCCTAACACGCTCACGCACGCTTGCTGGAAGTCCAAGCCCCTTGCCCACAAAACCTCTTTTACCCCCTCTCAACCCTTTCGAGGACGACCCTACCCCGCCTTCCTTCCCTATAGATTTATGTGCTTTCCATGTCATTCTACTTTGATCCATTCTCTCTAAATGACCAAACCACCTCAACAACCCTCTTCTGCCCTCTGACTAATACTTTATTAACTCCACACCTTTTCCTAATTTCCACACTCCGAATTTTCTGCATAATATTTACACCACACATTGCCCTTAAACAGGACATCTCCACTGCCTCCAACCGTCTCCTCGCTGCTGCATTTACCACCCAAGCTTCACACCCATATAAGAGTGTTGGTACTACTATACTTTCATACATTCCCTTCTTTGCCTCCATAGATAACGTTTTTTGACTCCACATATACCTCAACGCACCACTCACCTTTTTTCCCTCATCAATTCTATGATTAACCTCATCCTTCATAAATCCATCCGCCGACACATCAACTCCCAAGTACAGTATCTGAAAACATTCACTTCTTCCATACTCCTCCTCCCCAATTTGATATCCAATTTTTCTTTATCTAAATCATTTGATACCCTCATCACCTTACTCTTTTCTATGTTCACTTTCAACTTTCTACCTTTACACACATTCCCAAACTCATCCACTAACCTTTGCAATTTTTCTTTAGAATCTCCCATAAGCACAGTATCATCAGCAAAAAGTAACTGTGTCAATTCCCATTTTGAATTTGATTCCCCAAAATTTAATCCCACCCCTCTCCCGAACACCCTAGCATTTACTTCCTTTACAACCCCATCTATAAATATATTAAACAACCATGGTGACATTACACATCCCTGTCTAAGACCTACTTTTACCGGAAAGTAATCTCCCTCTCTTCTACACACCCTAACCTGAGCCTCACTATCCTCATAACTCTTTACAGCATTTAATAACTTACCACCTATTCCATATACTTGCAACATCTGCCACATTGCTCCCCTATCCACTCTATCATATGCCTTTTCTAAATCCATAAATGCAATAAAAACTTCCCTACCTTTATCTAAATACTGTTCAAATATATGCTTCAATGTAAACACTTGATCTACACATCCCCTACCCACTCTGAAGCCTCCTTGCTCATCCACAATCCTACATTCTGTCTTACCTCTAATTCTTTCAATTATAACCCTACCGTACACTTTTCCTGGTATACTCAGCAAACTTATTCCTCTATAATTTTTACAATCTCTTTTGTCCCCTTTCCCTTTATATAAAGGGACTATACATGCTCTCCGCCAATCCCTAGGTACCTTCCCCTCTTTCATTCATTTATTAAACAAAAGTACCAACCACTCCAACACTATATCCCCCCCTGCTTTTAACATTTCTGTCATGATCCCATCATTTCCAGCTGCTTTACCCCCTTTCATTCTACGTAATGCCCCACGTACCTCCCCCACACTTACATTCTGCTCTTCTTCACTCCTAAAAGATGGTATACCTCCCTGACCAGTGCATGAAATTACTGCCTCTCTTTCTTCCTTAACATTTAAAAGTTCCTCAAAATATTCTCGCCATCTACCTAATACCTCCATCTCCCCATCTACTAACTCCCCTACTCTGTTTTTAACTGCCAAATCCATACTTTCCCTAGGCTTTCTTAACTTGTTTAACTCCAAAATTTTTTCTTATTTTCATTAAAATTTCTTGACAGTGCCTCTCCCACTCTATCATCTGCTCTCCTTTTGCACTCTCTCACCACTCTCTTCACCTTTCTTTTACTCTCCTATACTCTGCTCTTCTTATAACACTTCTGCTTTGTAAAAACCTCTCATAAACTACCTTTTTCTCTTTTATCACACCCTTTACTTCATCATTCCACCAATCACTCCTCTTTCCTCCTGCCCCCACCCTCCTATAACCACAAACTTCTGCCCCACATTCTAATACTGCATTTTTAAAACTATTCCAACCCTCTTCAACCCCCCCCCCCCCCACTACTCATCTTTGCACTAGCCCACCTTTCTGCCACTAGTCGCTTATATCTCACCCGAACTTCCTCCTCCCTTAGTTTATACATTTCACCTCCCTCTTACTTGTTGTTTCCACCTTCCTCTTTTCCCATCTACCTCTTACTCTAACTGTAGCTACAACTAAATAATGATCCGATATATCAGTTGCCCCTCTATAAACATGTACATCCTGGAGCCTACCCATCAACCTTTTATCCACCAATACATAATCTAATAAACTACTTTCATTACGTGCTACATCATACCTTGTATATTTATTTATCCTCTTTTTCATAAAATATGTATTACTTATTACCAAATCTCTTTCTACACATAGCTCAATTAAAGGCTCCCCATTTACATTTACCCCTGGCACCCCAAATTTACCTACTACTCCCTCCATAACACTTTTACCCACTTTAGCATTGAAATCCCCAACCACCATTACTTTCACACTTGATTCAAAACTCCCCACGCATTTACTCAACAAATCCCAAAATCTCTCTCACTCCTCTACATTTCTCTCTTCTCCAGGTGCATACACGCTTATTATAACCCACTTTTCACATCCAATCTTTATTTTACTCCACATAATCCTTGAATTAATACATTTATAGTCCCTCTTTTCCTGCCATAGCTTATCCTTCAACATATATATATATATATATATATATATATTATATATATATATATATATATATATATATATTATATATATATATATATATATATATATATATATGCCGAATAGGTAAAATTGGTCAGTTAGCAAGAACTCGTTTAAAATTAAGTCCTTCCCAGAAATTTTCTCTTATACGTTTAAAGATGTATCCTTTTCATTTATGTTAATGTAAAAATTACCTAACCTTATTATAAC